ATCACCACGGCGACAATACTGATGACGGTGGTGGTGTGGAATCGTGCGACTGTGCGCTGGTGCCGGTGTGCTGACACATGTTCACCTGCACCTGCACATGGTTGTGTGTATGTATGTGTGTGTGTATGTATGTGTGCGTGTGGTTGTGTGTATGCATGTATGTATGTGTGTGTGTGTGTATGTATGTGTGTGCGTGTGGTTGTGTGTGCGCGTGTGTATGTATGTGTGTATATGTTCAGATTCAGCGATTGTGGGACGTGATTCGGCGGTGCGTGAACTTCGTCCCACCGCCCATGAACGAAACGGTACAACACCACCAACCATTGATGGCGCTGTGATGATGCTGGTAATGTGTGGTTCTGTGGACTGTGCTCACGTTTGTGGTTTCACGTGCCAACTCGATTACGCAAGCACTGCCTTCATCCAGTCACCACCACCACCACATCCCTCACCATCATCATCACCACCACCACCACCATCGTCACCATGGCCACAGGGGGTTGCGCAGCTGCGGGAGCGAATGGGCGCGTCGTCTGGACCGCTCGAGTCTCCACCCATCACCAACATTGCATACGCAGCTGCTGCTGCTCTCCAACAACGCAACGTGAGTAGTGGTGGTGGTAATGATGGTCGTGATGGTGGGTGGTAGGGGTTGTAGGATGATAGCAATGGCGTTGATGGTTGTGGTGTTCTTCTGGTTCGCGTGTCGTGCCCACTCACACAAAGCACTGCCCAACCCCCAACCTCCAAACCCCCACCACCACCATCGTCAGCTTCCTGCGTCACGCCTGCAGCAGCTGGCTGATCAGTTTATCCAGTTTATGGACAGATACCGCGTACGTGGCCACGTTTTGCCATTGTAGATGGCTCCTGTGACAGTGATGATGATGGTTGAGGTGATGGTCAAGTGATGGTTGCTCCCCTGGTTCTTTGTCCCGCCAGTTCTGAGACCAATGCAATCACCATCACAACACTCCACTGTTCTCACTTCAACTCGTCCCCCCCACCCCATCGTCACCACTGCCACCACCACCACCACTATCGCCGCTGCCAACAGATGTTTCGGCCAGAGAAGTATGCTGTGCACCATGTGCACGAGACGAACATGGCCCAATATGAGGCCGTCTTCGCCGTCTGGGAATCGTACAGCTCTGGGCCCCGTGCACGCGAACCGCTCTCACGGTACAGCAGCACTGGTGGTGGTGGTGGTGATGTGATCGCGCTCGCGTCGCGTGTGGATGTGCGTGCGTGCGTGTGTGTGTGTGTGCGTGTGTGTATGTGTGTGCGTGTGTGTGTGTGTGCGTGCGTGCGTGCGTGCACACACATCTATTTGCATCTACATCTGCATGTGTGCGTATGTGCTGTCCATACATCACGTTCGCTCGCCCAACTAACACCCCCTCCCCATGTGTGGGCGTGCGCCACCAGGATGTTTGGCAAGACGTTCTGCTACACCATCGCCAGCGACATTCGCCAGTACTTCAGCAGCGTCATTTCTGGTCCGTCCGCATGCATGTCTGTGTGGTTGACAGCCATCCACCCACCCACCGCACATATTAGTGCCCACGCGTCCAGTATATTTCTTCTCTCTTCCTCCCCCTCCTCCTCGTCCTCCTCACCACTATCACCACCACCGCCATTGTATCGTTACGGCGCAGGAATGCAACACGCGACACCGCCTGACACGGAGGGCGTGTATTGCGTGCAGGCATACTACAAGCAGCTGTTTGATCAGATGCGAACACCAGACCCCAGCGTGCCCAACTTGTACCCTGTCAAGCAAGAGCAGCCGTCAGCATCGTCATCAGCAGCATCATCAACAACATCATCTGCCATTGCTACGCCGGCAACCACAGCAACAGCAGCGACAACGACGATTACAACGGCAGCATCAGCGTCTGTTCCATCAGCGCGCGGTGGTCGACGCGGCTCCAGCAGCTCGCAACGAGGAGGTGTGGACACACGGTGTGTGTGTGTGTGTCAATGGATTGATTGTTACACTGCAACTCCTTTTGTTACATTTGTTCATGCTCACTGACTTGAACACCACACACACACACACACACACACACACACACACACACATACACGCACACACCAACAAACCACACCACAACCGGCAGGCCGCAAGCGACGCGCCACACCTGCAGGGGCGAAGGGAAAACGTGGTGGTGGTGGTGGTGGTGGCAAGAACGGTTCGGCAGCAACAACGGCACCGTCGACCTCGTCGTCATCAGCAGCAGCCGTGGCATTGGCGCGAGCACAGGCAGCGGAGGGGAAGGTGGTGGCAGCGACGAGCCCCAGCAAGCGAGCGAGCACCAGTGGTGGGGGCGGTAAGAGTGGTCGTCGTGCAAGTGGAAATGCAAAGCGACGTCAGAGCTCCGCTGGGAAGAAAGGGACCACAGCCACCACATCATCATCAACAACAACAACGTCAACATCAACATCAACATCAGCCACAGCAGGCAGAAGCAACGCACCAACTGGACCAACACCGCACGAACTCGCACTCAAGCGCGCAAAGACAGTGAAGGCGGTGACGATGGGCGATTTGCTAGAACGAGCGGGACTGAAGACGCACGCACCGCGGGGTGCCGTGCTTGCAGGCATTGAGGCCGCGGAAACGAAGAAGAAGCAAGAAGATGAGAAGAACAAGAAGAAGGAAGAGGAGGCTGCCCTCGTAAAGTTGAAAAAGAAAGGTGAACGCCTGTGTTTGTGTGTGTGCGTGCGTGTGCATGTGTGTGATTTTGATTATGTGTGTGTATGTTTGTGTGTGTGTGTGTGTGTGTGTGTGCGTGTGCGTGCGCGTGTGCGCGTACATGTGTGCGTGTGCCTGTGTCCGTGCCAGCAATACCTGTACTCACCCCTTAACTTGGCCCCCTCCCTCCCCCCTGCAGCCCCCGTGGCGCGAAAATTGCGCGCGTCTGACGTGGACAAGCACCTGTCCTGCGGGCGCCTGCTTGGGCTGTCTGCCCCCAAACAGAATGCGGAGGATCAGCGAAAGTCTTCCGCCAACGATTGCTACTGGAGCGTTGTTCCGCGCGTCCACGCTGCAGATTACGTCAAGGATGACCTGGAGACGGAACCACAGCACGCGGGCGAACACATGCCGCCCACACACTCGGAAGTGAGTTGGCTGAAAAGGATGGCTGCGTAAATCATTCTCGTAGCTCGTGCGTTTGTGGCTGTGGTGTCTGCAGTTGTCGATGTCGCTGCCGGCACAGCCGCATTCACAGGGCTGTGTTTCTTCTCACGCTCATCAACACACACACACACACACATGCACACACACTTGCATGCACACACATGCACACATGCACACTTGCACACACATATGCACACACATCTGCATAGATGCCGGCTGAAGGGAAAGATGCGCGGGCAAAGATTGAAATTGCTGCGAAATCTCTCGAAGTACAACCTTTGTGTTTGTTGCGTGTGTGCGTGCGTGCGTGCGTGCGTGCGTGTGTGTGTTTGCATTCGTTTTGTTCGTGTTGTCACCCCTCAAAGAATGCCCCTGTTTGTTGCACTCAACTTCTTGCCACCTCCACCACCTCATCATCACCTTGCTTCTTGCGACAGGTGCGGGTGCTGTCGATGCTTCCTGTTCATGGCGGAGCGATGGCGGAGGAGGAGCAGACGTCGACTATGAAGCTCTTGCTCGGGTCAGTGCCAACCGGCCCACAACATGCCACGCCCATCACATTCTTCACACACTGAAGGAGGAGGGGAGGGGAAGAGAAAAAGGATTGATGGGGTTGGTGGATGTGTGTTTGCGCACTGACATGTGCGCGCGTGTGTGCGTGTGTGTGCGTGTGCAGGGCGCGGAATGTGTTTAGCAGCGGCATCCCAGGAATGCCACGTGAATACATCACCCGCACCGTTTTCGACTCAGATCACAAAACCCTCGTCCTCCTCCGAAAAGACAACGTGAGTCTACGTCGTGCGCTGTGCGCTATGCGTGATGCGTGATGTGTTGTGCTGCGCATGTTTCGTGTGCTGTGTGTGTGTGAAATGAATGCTGGCTTGCACATAACCTGTCTTCCTATTGTTTGCCTTGCTCCTCATCATTGTCTGCTTTGTCCTCTTGTGCATGCCCTCTTCATCATGTTTGCCCCACATGGGCGCACCAACAACAGGTTGTCGGCAGCATTTGCTTCCGTCCCTTCTTCTCAGAGAAGATCCTTGAAATTGTGTTTGTCTCCGTGTGCTCCGACGAGCAAATCAAGGTCTGCGTGCGATCATGGCTACGTTTGCGTGCGTGCGTGCGTGTGTGTGTGGTTGTGTTTGCTTGCCTGTGCTGCCCTTGTGTGTGTGTGTGTGTGTGTGCGTGTGTGTGTGTGTGTGTGTGCATGTGTGCGCGTATGAAATGGCAGCTGCACGGTCTTGCTTTGTTCCTGTAACTGAGAATACGGCGTCGCTCACTCACCTCAACTCACCGCCACCACCGCCACCACCACCACCACAACCACCACCCAAAGGGGTTTGGCACGTATCTGATGAATCATCTCAAGGACTACGGTGTTCGCAATGGCTGCCACCACCTGTACACCTTTGCCGACGACAAGGCGGTTGGCTACTTTCAGAAACAGGTGCGCGCACACATTGTCAGGCACAATCTTGTTGCTGTCATGCGAGTGCATCTTGTATGCTGTGTGCGTGTGTCGTGTGAGTAAATGTTGCGTTGGCTGCTTCCAGTGTTTGCCCCTACTTCCAGTTCTGCTCTCATCCCACGACCCTGTCGCCATTAATGGTTTCAGGGCTTCAGCACGGCTGCACCGCTACCGCCAGAGCGAGCAGGCCTCATCAAGGTGTCATGCCACACACACACACACACACACACACACACACACACACACACACACACACACACACACACACACACACACACACACACACACACACACACACACATACACACACACACACACATACACACACACACACACATACACACACACACACACACACACATGCACCCGTGGACCCCAACAACCATGCATGATTTGTGGTGATGCCTCGTTACACTTGTTCAGTGTTCAGCATGCGTCCACACACGTAAGCAATGTCTCCAAACTCACCGTGCACCTGCCTTTGTTGTTGTTGTTGCTGTTGTCGTCGTCGTCAGGCCGCAAGTGTGAGAAGCGGCTGCTCGCGTGGATGAAAGGAATTGTGCAGGATTTACGCAATCATGAGGCAGCGTGGCCCTTCAAGGAGCCCGTCAACCCAGACGTGAGTGCAAACGTGTGTGCGGGTGCGGGTGTGAACGTGCATGTGCGTGTTGTGCGTGCATGTGCGTGCCTGTGTGTGTGTGTGTATGTGTGCATATGTATGCACGCAGATGGTATGCGCGTTTCGCATGCGCGTTTGTGGTGCAGCCAAACCCTGCACGTTTCCCCTCATGTGTTCACCACCACCACCTCCACCATCACCAGATTGCACCTGATTATTATCAAGTGGTGGAGGAGCCCATGGACCTGAAAACACTTGGACGAAACGTCAACGACAACAAGTACATTCGCTTGGAGGAGTTTGTTGCAGACTGCACAAAGGTATCGTGTGTGGTGTGTGTGGTGTATGTGTGTGTGGACATATGTGCCTCTGTGTATGTGTGCATGTATGCATGTGCATGTATGCATGTGCATGTACCGCTCCAGAGCTGTCTGTCCTCCACCCCCCTTTCACGGTTCCTCCCTCCCAAATACACACACGCATATCGTCGTTAGATCTTTGACAACTGCCGCTTCTACAACGAGGAGGACACGCTGTATTACAGCGAGGCGAATCGACTGCAAGAGTACTTTGAACGCCGCATGAGCGAGGCCCGCGCACATGTGCGGTGATGGCGTTGCCTGCACGCATCCGCCACATGCGCGCACTCAAACGTGTTGTGTGTGATCGGTTGCCTGCTGCTGATAGACGTTCGTAGTTGACGTATCTTCGTGCTTCTTCCACCCCTCCCTTGTCCCCATTTCTTTCACATACACACAGGCAGGTGTACATGAACGATAAGCGAGTTGTTTTCCACGCCTTGCGCGTGTGCATATATCTGTGTTTGCTCGGTTGTGCTGATGGGGTTGTAGCCCCAAAGTTTACTCTCGTTGTTTGTAGATTACAGCCAAACACGCCACCGCAAAACACACACGCACAGAAAACCACACAAACGCACGCTTCACAATGCGCACAAGACATGACACGAGAGGAGGGGCGACAGCTGTACAGACATTGTTCAGCATGTATAAATCATACACGCTGGTAGCATAACTGCCACTGTCCCCTCCTCTCTTCTTCTTCCTCCTCCTCCTCCTGCTGCTGCTGTATTGAGTTTGATGATGAATCAATATGATGGATGTGATGCTGACACATCAAAACATGCACACCGATCATCTGTCACGAGGAGATGACGAGGAGCCACGTGAACTGCTGCTGCTGTCGTTTTTCTTCGTCTTGTCGTCAGCGCGATCCTTCTTGTTCTCGTCATCTTCATCATCATCATCATCATCATCATCATCATCATCGTCGTCCTTGTCGTAGTCACGCAGACCCGGTGGGAGCTCCTCCTCTGCACTTTCGTCCTTCTCCTGCCCCGCGTCCTCCATAAACTGCTCATACTCGTCTGTTCAGACGAATCGTGTGCATTGGGGGGGGGGGGTTCGTGAGTGTGTTTGTGTGAGTGGAGTGTGTTGGGGGAGGGAGAAGAACAGGAGGTTGTGCGCACTCACGCAACAGAACGCAGCCCACCAAATGCACCACACACACACAACACACACACACACACACACAACACACACACACACACACACACACACACACACACACACACACACAAACGTTCGCGTTCAAAACACCTCCATCAACATCGAGTGCGTACGTTTCTCCTTGAAGGGGCGTGGTCCGAGGAGTTCACGCATGTCATCGCGAGAAATCACTTCCTTCTCAATCAAAAGTTTCGCAACTTTCTCCACATCCGCCTTCTTCTCCGTCAACAGCTCCAGCGTGCGCTCATATGCCTGTCATGCACATTGTGTGTGTGTGTGTGTATGTGTGTGTGTGTGTGTGTGTGTGTGTGTGTGTGTGTGTGTGTGTGTGTGTGTGTGTGTTTGTGAATGAGTGCGGAGGGGGGGGGGGGAATCGCTAATGCGAGGCCGCATTGAAACAACATATGCTGTTGTGTGGAATGCAGCAACCACCGCATCTTGTCAGAACATACACACACGCAACGTCAAACACAAGTGGGTGTGGAGAGTGCAACTGAGAAACAACAGCTTCGAACATAATGAGCATCAGTGCGCACCCCGTCAACGAGCTTGCGCGCCTCCTCGTCAATCAGCTGCGCCGTCGCCTCGCTGTACGGTTTGTCAAACGCGGGCTCGTTCTCGTCCGGGACCTTGAACGACAGGTTGCCCACGCGCGGATTCATGCCGTACACAGCAATCTGATCGCATGCGTGCAGGCAGCGGTGTTGTTCGATGAGATGGCGGTGATGGGGTTGAGTGCAAGTGGTTACAGGTGCAAAGGAAAACGAACGGCACCCACGCAGCAAATAGTGCACTCACACAAACATAAAAACACACGCAAACATACAAACACACGCAAACACACACACACACACACACACACACACATACACACAAACACACGCAAAACACACACGAGCTCGCTGCTGCATGTAAACAAGCACGCGCGCGTGCATGCATGTGTGTGCGCGTGGTGTCTGTACCTGTGAGTAGGCCAAACGCGTGACCTTCTTGAGGTCGTCGTGGGCGCCGGTGGTGATGCGGTGGAAGAAAATCTGCTCGGACACGCGCCCGCCGAGCGTCATGCACATGCGGTCAAGCAGCTGACGGCGGCGGTGGCAATGGTGGTGGTGGTGGACGGAAGGTGAGGGCATGCATGGGATGGAACAAGCAGTGACGAGAAGGAGAAGAGCAACAAACAAACAAACAAACAAACAAACAAACAAACAAACAAACAAACAAACTTTTTAACAACACAGCAACAATAACAACAAACAAAGCAGCCATGGCGACGGGTGCACACCTGCTGCGTGGTGTAGAGAAACTGCTCCTGCGGCAGGTACTGCGCGTATCCGAGGGCGGCGGACCCGCGCGGGATAATCGACACCTTCAGCAGGGGGTCAGCGTGTTCAAGATACCACCCGCACACGGCGTGCCCGGCCTCGTGGTAAGCCACTGTCGTCTTCTCCTCTTTGCTCAGCACACGCGTCTTGCGCTCAAGACCAGCAATGATGCGCTCAATGGCCTGCTCAAAGTGGTGCATGTTCACGCTCGTCGCAAGATAGCGCGCAGCAATCAGCGCTGCCTCGTTGCACACGTTTGCAATGTCGGCGCCTGGAGGGGTGTGTGTGTGTGGATGGGATGGAAGTATAAGAGCGAGTGAGCATGTACGTGAAAGAGCGAGCGAGTATGCGCGAGGGGGGGGGGTGCGTGTGCATACATATTTGCATATGAATACGCTCTTCTGCCGTGAACGATGTAATGCGTGCAGGGCTGCGACAGCGTCACAAAAACCACGGTTACACCCATTTCAACACCTCAAGTTCCACCACAGCAGCAGAAGCAGCAGCGTTGATGTGCTGCTCACCTGAGAACCCTGGGGTGAGGGTGGCAAGCTTCTTTGCAACGTCGTCCTTGTCCAGCTCCGTCTGGATGCGCGACAGGTGAACGTTGAAGATGGACCGACGACCCTGCACACACACAAGAGGGAGGAGCGTTATTCGACGATGGTGCTGAGCGGAGAATCGAGAGTGATTGTGGGTGTAAACGTGGTAACCCCAATGCCCGAAACAACACACACACACACACACACACACACACACACACACACACACACACACACACACACACACACACACACACACACACACACACACACACACACACACACGGAGCAAGTGCTGTGGTTTGCGCACCTTGATATCTGGCAGGTCGATGGTGATCTGTCTGTCAAAGCGTCCGGGGCGGAGGAGGGCGGGGTCAAGCACATCCTGCCGGTTCGTGCCTGCAAGCACGACAACATTCTCAGAGCTCTGCATGCCTGCACCAAGAACAAACCGAGAACAAAGGAGATGTGGAGGATGCAAAGGATGGGTGGATGTTTTCGTGAGAGCAAGCAAACAAGTGACGCATCACGAAAAGTGTCACGCAATCACAGACACACATACACACACACACACATACACACACGCAATCACGCACACACACACACACACCAATGCCCTTCGTACCCCCCCCACCACCACCACTGCTGCTGCTGCTGCTATGCGCACCGTCCATCTCGACGAGGAGCTGGTTCAATGTGTTCTCGCGCTCGTCGTTGCCGCCGCCAAAGCCGCCGGACTTGGAGCGCGCGCGGCCAACGGCGTCAATCTCATCAATGAAGATGATGCATGGCGCGTTCTTCCGCGCCTCCGCAAACAGGTCCCGCACCTGTGCACAGGTAGGTCGTCGCAGTGGTGGTGATGGTGGTAGTGACAGTGGTTGTGGTTCGTTGGCATGAGCATTGACAAGGGTTGGAGAAGGAGGTGACAGGATGGGGGCGGTTGCAAAATCACGGGATGCAGGCACAACTCCACTCACTGCACAGTCCACCACAGCCTACCACAGCCAAGCACCAGGTCCCATCACCACCACCACAAGCACGCTGCCACAGCACCACCATCATCCTCATCGCCACCACCACCAATCAACTGACCCTGGCAGGACCGACGCCAACGAACATCTCGAGAAACTCCGAGCCCGAGATGGAGTAGAAGGGGACATCTGCCTCGCCAGCCGTTGCCTTGGCCAGTAGCGTCTTGCCCGTACCCGGCGGGCCAGACAGGATCGCGCCCTGTGGCCATGCAGCAGCGGTGGTGGTGAGCATGGTGGTGACCATGGTGATGATGATGGTTGGAGAGGACGAGCGAATCAATGTGCAAGGAGGATGATAGCTCCACGTTCATAGCACACACACACACACACACACACACACACACACACACACACACACACACACACACACACCTCTACCAACCCAAACCGCAATGCAATTCTTTCAAAAGACCTGCCCCCCCCCTTATTAACCTTCCACCCCCCACTCGCAACTGCTGTGTGCGCGCGTCACCTTTGGGATCTTGGCGCCAAGCTTCCTGTACTGCTCCGGGTGCTTGAGGAAGTTGACAAACTCGAGAATCTCCACCTTTGCCTCGTCGCAGCCCGCCACGTCCTTGAACGTGATGTTGACGTCCGTCTCCCTGTTGAACTTCTTCGCCGTGCTCTTCCCAAACCCAAACATGCCCTGGTGCAGTGACAGGCGAGTTTTTGTGGTTGTTGTTGTTGTTGTTGTTGTTGTTGTTGTTGTTGTTGTTGTTGTTGTTGTTGTTGTTGTTGTGTGAGCGGATGCATGTTGCGTGTTGCGTGTTGCGTGTGTGAGGGGCGTAGAACACACGTCAGCTAATGTGTATGAGGGGAAGCAGACACGCATGACGTGCAGCGTGCACACAGAAACAGCCACAACTTTCACACAATGTTCCCCCCTCTTATTCCCCAAATCCCGCCAGCATCGGCTTTTATCACGAGGCGTGGTTTGTATCAACTCACCCCTCTGCCGCCGACGCCGCCGCCCATGGACGAGACGCGGCGCATGGAGTAGAGGATGAGGCCAATCAGCAGCAGCGTCGGCGCAAACCGAAGCAGCTCCCGCCTGGTAACGGCAGCGGTGGTGGCGGTGATGGCGGTGGTGGTGATCGATGTATTTCGTGAGGCGAGGGATAAGCAAGCAAGTCGACGGATGGACATCGAGAGGGAGAGAGGAGCGCATACACAGACACACACTCACAGACAGGCACACACGCACACAGACAGACAGACACAGACACACACATACGCACACACACACACGAGAGCGCACACACATACACACAAACACACACACGAGAGCGCATAAGCCCCCCCCCCCCTTGAAGCAACGTACGAGATTGAGATTTCGTTTGCGTATGCGACGGGGACCATCTCGGCTGGCCTGAGCCCCATCTCCCGCTGTGCTGCGTCCAGCTGCCGCTCAAATGAGTCCACGCTGCCAATCGTAAAGTGGGCAGCAGGCTCTCCGGGCTGCGGCAGCACACAGCGCCAGCAGGAGGTGGTGGCACGTGGGTGGTTGGTTTTCAGTGGTTTGGATTTGATGAGTGGTGGATTAAATGAGTAGACGCTGGAAGGCAGTGAATATAACCCCCCTGACAGACAGACAGACACACACACACACACACACACACACACACACGAGAACAGCGGCGCTTACGTGGATGGACCCCTTGACGTACACGCGGACGAGTGTTTGGTTGACGACGGTCAGGTGGTCAACCTGTTGGTGGCGGCGGTGATGTGGACACGGTGCACGCGATGGATGAAGGACATGAATGAGGTGGCATGTGCACAAGACCAGCATTGCCGCTACCATGCGTCACTGCAGCGTCAGCCGCCAACATACAATCCCAAGCGAGTCCACATACGCAGCAACAGTCATGTTTCTCCCACCAACCACGTTCCCCACATCACCCCAATCTCCCATCTCCTCCATCTTCGCCCCACGAGTACGAACCAAGCCGCGCTCGAGGTAGTTGGTGCGGAAGTCCTGCCAGTGGATCTCCCGGCCCTCGCGCGGGGTGGACAGGAAGAACATGCTGGCAACACCAGCAGCGGCAAACGCAACAATCACGCCCCGGTTGTTGGGGTCCTGCAGCCACTTGAGCACCTCATTGCTGCTGCCGCCGCTGCCATCACCACGCCCGCCATTACCACGACCACGACCACGACCACCACCACTGCCACTGCTGTTGCTCTTGCCACTGCTCTTGCCACTGCTCTTGCCACTGCTGCTGCCGTCGCTGTGCTCGCGTGGGCGCTGCTCGGATGCAGGCCCCTTTGCGTCGTCGCCTTTGCTGCTCTCGCCCTCGCGTTTGCCGGATCGCCCGCGCCGCGCACCGCTGCGCTGCCCGCGGGGGAGAAACGACTCAAATCCTAGGCAGGCGTAGCATGTGTGTTGTGATGAAGGGTCGTGAGTGGGGTGGTGGTGATTGGGGTGGGGGTGGTGGTGGTGTTCGTGGGTGGGTCGAGCACATGCTCGTGGTGAATATATCCTTCCATTTGTATGCGCGCACATGTGTGTGTGTGTGTGTTGGGCATGTTCTCTGCACCCTTTCCTCCTTACTCGCACTCAACAAGCAATTGGATCGTCCATTGTTGTTCGCACCTCTTGGGATCTTGGCCCGGGCAGATTCAGAGATGGTGAAGCACCGGGCAAACACGGGCTATGTTGTAGAATTGAAACAGCACGGCCACAAATAGGTGAGCACACGTCAAACAGAAAGGTTGGGGTGTGTGCGCGCGCGTGTGTGTTACACCTCCCACACACACACACACACACACACACACACACACACACACACACACACACACACACACACACACACACACACACATGCATACAGCGTAGCGTACCGCGCGCGCAGGTGCTTGTCGATGTGCCAGTGTCAATCCCCGCCCTGATGGTGAGTGACAGCCACAAGGAAAACACGCGAGATATTAGCATGAGCGCACATTCGAGCTCACACGAAACGCACGGGCGCAAAAGGCAGCGATACACAGAAAGGGTGAGAAAGCGCAGCACAGCTCGCCGTGAAAACACACACACACACACCTACACACCTACACACGCACGCACCCACCCACCCGCACACACACACACACACACACACACACATACCTACACACACACATACTTACGAAGCGCGGATGACAGCGGCTGAATAGCGCGCAGCATGGTGCGCTGTCGGGTTGGCTGGCGTCGGTGTTACTGTTGCTGCTTGCCGTTGCTTCCCCTGAGCCCTTCTACTTCCCCGTGGTTCGCTGACGCAGCAGTGACAAAGCAAATCATCGTTTGTTCAAGGTCAGGGAGGATGTTTGCATGTGCGTACATACATCTTGAGATTTGCAACGATACCTCCATCGAGACCGTCTCCACTTCACCCACACCCACACCCACACACACGCACACACACACACACACACATCCACACACACACACATCCACACACAGACACACACACACACATCCACACACAGACACACACATACACACACACACATCTTCGCATACACGCACACATGGCACCGCGTCACGTCACGTCGTTCAACCACGCTCCGCACCTCCCATACTCACTGCGTCGACGTCAATGTTGATGATGACGAGCACTTTGGTTCGGTTGGCTGCTCTGTTGTCGTCGTTGTTGCAGGTGTTGCTGCACCACAGTCGCAGTGTGCCGTTCTCTCGTTGCAACCCGAAGTCGCTACGCTTTATGCTGTTTTTCTTCGAATCTTTTGATTTTCCCGGTTCTTTCTAAAGTGAATCTGGCGAAAGTTGCGAAAGGTCGTTCAGCTTATGCAGAGCGCATGCGAGCTGCCTTTTTCCAACCACGAGCACAGCCCTCACCCTTCCTCTCCCACCAGGTGAGCGAGCGGATATGGGGTAGTGGTCGTGCTGCTGGAACTGGTGGTGAACATGGTCGTGGCAGTGGGTGGCTTCGAGTAGAGGAAGCGATGCAGCGTGCGTCATGTGCACGCGTGGGGCGCGCGCAACGGTGCACGCGTAGGGTGGTGAGGACTGGAGAACCAGACCGTGGCAGCGTGCAGTTGCACCTTCAGCTCCCACAAACAAACACACTCTCAAGCGTCGACGCACAGCAGCTGTGGCCAGCAAGTGATGGCGCTGGTTGCGTTGCACCCGCGGCTCACAACAACCACGTTGCGGATTACGGCTGCCTGTTCGTGACAAAGGCCGTAGTGGTGGAGCATGCGCTGCTGACTTCGATGACAGACACGACTGATGATGACACGATGAGCGGCAGCAGCTTCGCGACATGCGAATGTGTGAGGCCGGAGAAGAGACACCACGCAACTGGTGGATGTGATGCAGAGCCACTCACCACCATCTCGTTCTCTGGTTGTCGTTGCTTGGCTTTGCAGGTTCCAGAACGGCATCATGAAGACGCTGCAGGCCACGCGTTTCATCACAATCCCCGAGGGCGGTGAGTCTTTTGTTTTCGATGGAGCGAGTGCGCAACGCACATGCTTGTGTGTCTTGCACCGGGAGACGTGCGTGTGTGTGTGTGTGTGTCAGGCACTCCCTTGCCTCGCATCTGCATGCCAACCTCTGCATGCCCACCTTCCCTGATCCCACAAACTCTTTAACCCTTCCTCACCGCACGCACGTTCACACACATTAACAACGACACCAACTGCTGCCTTTGTTTTGTTTGTCAACCCGCCATTGCACGTACACACATCACAGTCACGGTCACCATCAAGAACCGTGTCGCTACCGTGACTGGCAAGCGCGGTACCCTGAAGCGTGCCTTCAAGCACCTTCAGCTCGAGGTCACCCGCGTGTCCGATGAAAAGATCCGCGTCGATGCTTGGCTCGCTGACCGCAAGGTGTGTGTTGTTGCTGTTGATGAAGTGCGGGTCCTCCAGTGGGTTGTTGTGTTGCTTGTGGTTCGACAGCTTTGTCGGTGGCACGCCCGTGTGTGTGTGTGTGTGTGTGTGTGTTCGTGCGTGTGCGTCGGAGGTGGCTTCGGTGATACAGCACACTGTGTTCGTGTTTTTGATTGCCTTCATGTCAATCTTCGACGTTTGCCTCCTGTTTGTGTGGGTCAGTGAAGTAAGTTGGCCCATCACCCCCCGCCACCCCCCGAATCATGTTGTTTGAACTCAAGCACGCAATCGTCTCACCATTTTGATTCTCATGTGCCGTGTGCTTGTGTGGTGTTGGCATGTGTGGTTTGATAGGCGCTGGCCTGCGTCCGCACTTTCTGCACGCACGTCATGAACATGATGAAGGGTGTCACATACGGCTACCGCTACGTGCTCAAGGCCGTGTATGCGCATTTCCCCATCAACATGCAGGTTATTGATGGTGGCAAGGCCATTAACATCAGGAACTTCCTTGGCGAGAAAGTCACCCGTCACGTGTGCATGCACGACGGTGTCATTGTCAAGGCCTCTGGCAACAAGGACGAGCTCTACGTTGAGGTGTGCAAGCAAGACCAGTTGTTGGTGTCCAGAAGGGGGGGGGGGGAGCTGTAGTGTCTTGCGCGTTTGACATTGTTGTGGGTTTATCGCTTTAGTGCTGTCGTGTGTGTGTGTGTGTGTGTGTGTGTGTGTGTGTGTGTTCCCTGCTTGCTTGAGCTCACCAACGCTTACGCCTCTTTTCTCTGTCGTTGCTGTTTTTTTTTTCTGGTGTCTCGTGCGTGACAAACAGGGCAACGACATTGAGAAGGTGTCTCTCTCCGCCGCCCTGATCCACCAGTCGTGCCTCGTCACGCGCAAGGATATCCGAAAGTTCCTCGACGGTGCGTCTGCTGCGGAGTGTGCGTGTGTGTGTGTGTGTGTGTGAATCAGCGTGCGTGTTGAATGGTGTTGTGTTGGTTGCTTGCCATCACACATGCCCTCATGTTGCCTCCACCCCCACACCACCCTCCTTCCGTCTTGCAGGTATCTACTGCAGCGAGACCACCACCATCGACCCCATTGAGGAGTAAACTGACCCCCTCCCTGGTTGTTGTTGTGTGTGTGTGTACACTGTGCTCGTGATGCTCCCCCGCTCTGTTTCCTTGACTGCCAAGAGAATAAACCTTGACACATACCTGCACACGGCGGTTTGAGACGAGGAACTGCGAAAAGCACGAGAGAGAGAGTGTGTGTGTTTCTGTGGGGTGGTGGGGGGGGGTGTTGGACGTGGCCACATCACACACACACACACACACACACACACACACACACACACACACACACACACACATGCAACGGCACTTCATCTTGCAGAAGCGCGAGTTGGTGGAGCTTGCCACGCGCATTGACCGCAACACCAATGCCACAATGAAGTTGAAGGTACGCGCCTGCACAGTGTGTGTGTGTGTGTGCATCTGTATCTGTATATGTTTGTGGATGCATCTGTATCCACATGCATGCGTGTGTGTGCCTATGCATCTGCGTGCGTGTGCGCGTGCCCTTCTTCTGCTCCCACCCGTCCCCTAATCAACAACTCTGCCCCCCCCAACTTCACACATACACGGAGCAGAAAGTGGATCTGGTCTTTGCTGTGATTGGCACCATCAAGCGCAACGCAAGCATGTCGCTGCTTGACCGGGCACCGCCGGAGATCGTCCCATACCTCAAGCCTGCACTGGACATCATGCTCAAGACGCCCTCCTACACACCCACACCCGGCCCATCCACATCACAGGCGGCAGCAGCGCCCGCCCCTTCGACATCAGCTGCCACTTCAGCACCCGCTGCAACCTCAGCATCTGGACCAGCACAAGCTACCAAATCACCACAGCAGGCAAATCAACAACACCACGCTCAACAGCAGCAACAGCAACAGAAGTCAAAGAAGCTGAAGAAGCAGGGGTCACGAACGGGCAGCGAGAGCAGTGACCAGCCACCAACCAAGCGCGCGCATTGCACGCCTTCCCCAAAACAGAACCAGCAGCAATCAAAGAAGTTGCCAAAGCCCAAGTCACCCACCAAGGTTCGTCATTCCAAGCCAATGCCAGTACGCACGACCTATGGCAAGCCGAGTCAGCACAACTTATCAGCATTAGCAGCAGCATCATCGTCGTCAGCATCGGCGGTCGTGGCGAGCAAGGCGCCCAGCGCTGTGCCTGCAGACAATGCCCCGCGCCTTACACGCACGCGCAGCGGTGGCAAGAAGAGCGCACACAGCTCCCCCACAAAACACAGGAGAGCAAGTAGCAGCGGTAATGGTGGAAATGGCAGTCGTGCCGGTGTCAAACCACGTGGCAGCTACAACAGTAACAACATTAACAGCAACAGTAACAGCAGCAGCAGCAGCAGCAGCAGCAGCAGCAGCAGTCGTGATCACGGTGGTAGTGGTGGTGGTGGTGAGTCTGGGCAGAAGACCGACCAGACGTCAAGTCCCAGCAAAGGCAGGAAGAGGAAGGGCAGGGCGAGGAAGAAAAGCATGAGCAACCTCAGCAGCAAGACGGGTGCACGCGGAGGTGACGCCAGTGCTGCGACCAAGTCGTCATCATCAGCAAACACTTCGAGCGCTACCACACCCGCCACCGCTGGACCCAGTGCACCAAGCATGCAGAACAGCCCAGCTAGCAGCAGCAACAATGACAACAACACAAGCGTGCATGCAGGCACTGCAACTGACCCCGCAAGCACCACAAGCACCGCACACACAACGCCAACAGCAACACCCACAACGACAAGAACAACCACCACCGCCAGCAGCAGTGGCAGCAGCGCCAGCGCCAGCGCCAGCAGTCGTGGTGGCGGCGTGCAGCTACAGAGCACCCTGTCTGGCGTGCGGAGTGTGTGGCAAGCGTTGCAAAACGACACACCACTCAACATCAGCGGTGCTGTGGCACCACGCGGTTCCCCCTCAACCCCGTCCGCCTCACGCCCACCTGCGTCATCGTCGCCATCATCATCGTCATCGTCAGCATTTGCGGTGGCGCCAGCAACTGCGGCGGCAACGGGGTTCAAAGCAGCATCGTCGTTGTCATCGTCGTGGTATTCTTCATCACCGTCACAGCGCTCAACCCCGCGCACCCCCCAAGCACCATCACCAGCAGCAGCAGCAACAACAACAGCAACAACAACAGCTGCTGCTGCTGCTGCCTCTGCAAGTGCCCTGCCCTCATTTCGATCATCATCGTCAGCATCGTCGTCGCCATCATCACGGTCGTCATTGCTGCCGCCGTGTGCAGTGCACGATGGCAGCTTCACGAAACCTTACTCCCCCGACACCGCGGATGGCAGTCGCAAGCCATTGTTTGGGCAGCAGGCACAACAGCAACAGCAGTCACAACAGCAGCAACAGCAGCAGCGGAGGGCGAGTGTACGTCTCAATCAAGTTAACGGGCAGCAAGGCAGCTCAAGCCATGGCAATGGCAGCAGCAGCAGCAGCAATGGACAGGTGGCGAGGAAGAAGAGCAAGCAGCACCAATACCCATACCACCAGCAGCAGCAGCAGCAGCCATATCAGCAACTCCAACAACAGCAGTCATATCAACACCGGTACCCATATCAACAACAATATCCACAGCAGTATGTGGATGGCATCATATCAACACCATCAGCACCAGGCGTGCTGCCACCATCCTCTGTCAGCGTGACACAGCACGTGGTGCCAGGTAGCATGCTGCCACAGGCCTTCCCGTTCCCTGGCCGCACGTATGTATCCGTCACCGCTCCTGTCCCGGGCGCGATGCAAACACCATCATCATCATCACCATCATCATCATCATTGTCATTGTCATTGTTGCCATCGCCAATGTCATCATCGTCATCACTGCCAGCAGCAGTCACACCAGCAGCAACAGCAGGATCATCGTCATCATCTGCATCGCTGATGTCCCCTTCGTTGCCGCGAACATATGTGGCGGGGAATGGGGGCAGTGTGCACTTATCCACAGCACAGCACATGCAGCAGCAGCAGCACCCACAACAGCACCCACAATTGCGGCAACAATTTCAGGAACAGCTCCAAAAATACCAGCAGAGCCAAGAGCAGTTGCAGCAAACGATGCAGCAGACGATACAGCAACTGCAACAGCATCATCACCAACGGGTACAGACAAACCTGCGTGACATGTTTAAGGGTGACAAGCAGAAAAAGCGGCCACACCAGCAGCACCAGCAGCACCAGCAGCACCAGCAGCATCAACGTGGCACTGGCGGTAGTGGTCGTGGCCGTGGACGTCCTGCGTCATCAGCACGCCCTGTGAATGTAAGCCCTTGCTATATGTTGTGCACTCTACCATGTGACGTGTCGTGCCATGTCATGTGCTGTGGGTGATCATCATCATCATCATCATCATCATCATCATCATCATCATCATCATCATCATCATCATCATCATCATCATCATCATCATCATCATCATCATC